AAAAAAAAAAAAAAAAAAAAAAAAGAAGAAAACTTAATTAATTAATTAATTAATTAAATTTATTAATTAATAATTATATTTATATATATTTAAAAAAAAAAAGCAAAAAAAAATATCCAATATTATACAAATTACAATGAAATATATATTATGATGATAAATTCCAGAAATACACACCCTAAACCCTAAACCCTAAACCCTAAACCCTAAACCCTAAACCCTAAACCCTACTAGATGTTCCACATCCAAGCATGAGGATATCATGACTCTCATCAAGACCAGCAGAAAGGAGGAAGGGTTTAAAGGCAGCATAATTATTAAACCAATCAAAGGGTTCAGGATCCCTGAATATAACAAAACCCTAAACCCTAAACCCTAAACCCTAAACCCTACAATACCATAAACCCTAGATAATGAGCATGTCAAATAACAAATCCTAAACCCTAAACCCTAATTCTTAATGGGTAAATAAACTCACTTCTTGTAGCGCTCCTCCCAGTGCTCCAGGCACGCGTACTGATGGACAACACAACGCACACAAACCCTTAACCCTAAACCCTAAACCCTAGTTCTACATAGTCATTAAGACGATAGGTGTAGGTTTAGGGTTTTTTCCTTATCGTTTAGGGTTTAGGGTTTAGGGTTTAGGGCTTGCCGTACTCCAATCATCTTCAGGGACCGTAGGAGAGCACCGCCAGCAGACGCGGATAAACCCTAAACCCTAAACTTGAATAAACTCGGTCAAACCCTGACAAACCCTACACCCTAAACCCTTGTAAACCCCTCTACACCCTGATAAACCCTAAACCCTGAGCCCTCACTGGCGGTCGGCTGCGGATGCCTGCATACGTAGGAGGCCTCCAAAGAGGCAACGCCTAAACCCTAAACCCTAAACCCTAAACCCTTATTTGTTGTTTAGAGAAGAATCACATGCAGGGGAGGCTGAATGATGATATTGGGTGTGAAGCCAGCTGTGCCACTCCTCCGCCGCTCACAGCATACCGCGTAAACCCTAAACCCTAAACCCTAAACCCTAAACCCTAAACCCTAATAACGAATTTTATGAGTTTAAAAAACACAAAAAACAAACATATAAACCCTTAGCTTAGAGCAGCACCTAAAGAGCGCCACGGGCCCCCTTGAGGCACACGACAGCCCCCGTGCTAACCACTAAACCCTAAACCCTAAACACTAAACCCTAAACCCTAAACACCCGATAGATCATTGAATGTTTTTCTTTATTGTATACATATTTACTTTGTTATTCGTTATATAAGTTCTGCTTCTTTCGCTCAACCTGCAAACCCTAACCATGTACCATAAACCCTAAACTAAACCCTAAACCCTAAACACTAAACACTAACGGTGTTTGCTTGTATGGGTGTCTGCGTGTATGTGTGTTTATTTGTTTGTTTTAATTTTATTTTCTTTCTATTAACAATATAGTTAAGGGTTTAGGGTTTACTACCACTCATCTATTGCTTAGGGTTAAGGGTTTAGTGTTTAGGGTCATTGCATGTCTTTAGGGTTTAGGGTTTTGTCTTGTGCCCGTTAACAGCAGAGGGAACTGAAAGCTTAATGCAAACAAAGATGCTAATTAAGATTAGGGTTTAGGGTTTAGGCTACTCTTATTAAGGGTCCAAACCCTAAACCCTAGTCTTCCTATTTACATTGCCGTCCTTAGATCCGACAACGGTTCCTTCTTCTTAGTTTTCGCCTAGGGTTTAGGGTTTAGGGTTTAGGGTTTCAAGTCATAGGATCTATGGCGTAGGGTTTTAGTTATTAGGGTTTAAGGGTTTAAGGGTTTAGGGTTTTAGAGTTTTAGTGTTTAGGGTTTCGTTTATATAATATATATATGTTATAGTGTTTTAGGGTTTGGGTTTTAGGGTTTTAGGGTTTAGGGTTTTAGGGTTTAGGGTTTAGGGTTTAGGGTTAATAAGCACAAGAGCTAACCCTTCTCCCCCCAAGACATTTATTACTAAATAAAAACTTTTAAGGAAAAAAAAAAGGAGAATAAATCCTTTAGGATAAGAAAGGAGCTAGCTACAGCTAGCCACAGCTAGCTACAGCTAGCCACAGCTAGCCATAGCTAGCCACAGCTAGCTGCAGTGAGACACAGCTAGCTGCCGCTAGCTACAGATAGCCACAGCTAGCTACAGCTAGCTACAGGGAAGCAGTGCTGGCAGTAGCTAGCTGCAGGCACCTCAGCTTGCTGCTGGGTGTAACCACTAGGGTTTAGGGTTTAGGGTTTAGGGTTCGGTGTTTCCTTCCTTCGCTGCCGTCGCGGCTGCTGCTGCTGCTGCAGCTGCTGCTCCTGCAGCAGCTGCTCCTCCTGTTGCTATTGCAGCTTCTGTTGCCGCTGCTGTTGCAGCTACTCTTCCTGATTTTGCTGTTGTTGTTGTTGTTGCTGCTGCTGCAGCTGCTGCTGCCTCTGCTGCTCCATTAGCCTGCGCTGGAATAAGGAAGGAGGCCTCGTGCTTACTGCTGCTGCTGCTGCAGTTGCTGCTGCTGCTGCTGTGCTGCTGTCGGTGCGCTCTACTATTACATTGCGAACACCTCCTACCCATTCGCTGCTGCTGCTGCTGCTGCTGCTGTTGCTGCTGCTGCTGGTGTCGCGCTCCACTATCACATCACGAACGCCCCCTACCCATCCGCTGCTGCTGCTG